TTAAAATTTCATCTTTTAATTTCAGTAAAATTTCTTGGCTTCAATTGATTACTAGTTGAAGATAATTTGCACAACACAGAAATGGGTCATTCAGCCCAACTGTTCTGGACTGGTATTTATGCTCCAGATAAGCCTTCTCACAGCTGACTTCATCTGACCCTACAAGCATGTTCTTCCAACTATTTATTTCTTATGTGCCTATCTAGATCCTCCTAAACACAGATATGATATTCAGTCACTCTATGATGGTGCTTTGTACATTCTAACCACTTTTATAAGTTTATTACATTTATGACCCATTGTTTTGAGCTCCAGTCACTGTTGAAGTATCTCATATAATTATGTAATGTAAGGCAAAAATATAGGGAAGCTATGTACATAAAACCTTTGAACTGTGAATGTACTTTATGCTTTAAATGTGATCTTAATTTCTGATGTCACAGCAGCAAGACAGAGTCTTCCTTTTCTGAGTTCTGAGGAACCGGACCCGAAACATTATCTTTGATTTCTCTTCACAGGTACTGCCAGACCTGCTGAGCTTTTCCAGCAACTTCTGTTTTTGCTTCTTTGTTTTCCCTCCTTGCCTTCTCTAAGCAAGAGTATGAGCATTGCTGGTTTAATTAACCCTAAATGACCAATGTTCCTTTTCAGTGTCACTGAACTGAGGTTATCCTCTTTTATAAGTAATATGAACACTGCTGCTGAGCAGTTGCCTCAGAATCCCCATATTTTCTATGTAAATAACCTTATTTTTATGTTATAATCTTGAACTTATTTAGTTAGACTATCATGGATAACAGATATTACCCACTGATTCACTTATTTCTTCTATGCATTGGAACATGAATAGGTCATTCAACCCCATAAGCTGTTTAACCATTCAAACAATTCATGGTTGATCTGTACCTCAAATTCCTGTAACCCCCCTTGCCTGCATGCCCTTAAACACCCTGACCAATGAAAATGGATCATGTAGTTTTGGAAATTTCATTTAACCCTATATCCAAAGCTTTTTGGAAGAGAGAATTCCCTAACCACCAACTTTTGTGTAAAAAGAAATACTCTTTGTTTCACCGCTGAATGACTGAACTCCTAATTTTAACCTTCTTGTTCTGGATTTTTTTGTATTGGTATAACTGTATCTCGCTCATAGAATCATTTGGCATTATAAGCACCATGATGTAAATAACTGTTCAACCTTATAAACTCAATGAAATGCAAGCTAATTTATGCAATCTGTCTTTGCAGTTTAACCCTTCTTGTATCATTCTGATGATTCTGTGCTGTGCCGCCTCTCAATGGCCTCTGAAATTGGAAAGATAATCTTCTTACATTTCCTACCATGTGAAATGAAGTGAAACAATTGACTCCCATAATTAAAAGTTTGAAAGCAGCATGTGTGAATGATACTCACACCCATCCAGTTCCTCAATGGCCATTGAACAGAAGGACTGGCTACGTGCATGTTCTTACTCATAAACTAATTATTTTTTAACCATTTTTGTATGGTGTTTTGCACTGATTAGTTTTACTGCTGTCCCATAGAAAGGGCAGCCATCTGAATGGAAGATAACTTCAGATTAAAAAAAAATGTGCAGTGATCATCCTTTTCCTTTGCTTCTGAACTGGTGTTTAAAAAAAAAAAAATTGTTTTCTACCATAATGTCTTTGGGAATTTTGCCATGCTCGTGATTTAAAAAAAAACTATTAAATATTTTCTTTCAGACTTGAATTTTGTACATTTTTGATAAGTTCACATTGCTGAATTTGTTGATCAAATGCACTGAACTATCTCTGGATGTATGTTTTTTTTTAATCAACAAAGACGGTGTTAAAATTTGACAGCCTTGACATGCTGATTTCTATGTACACTCATTTCAGTGTGAGGTTACAGGATTAATAATACAGTTTCATGCTACTTGCCATTTTTAACCATGATCATTATGATAAAGGGCATATACTTAATTACAGCCTGTTTAATTACAGCTCTTTTGAAGCTCATTTGTTTGGTAGAATGCTAATTAAAATGGTGAGCCTGTGGCATGTCCTTATTTTCATCCTTTGTGCTAGGTGAATGAACTAAGTGTAATGCACCATGTATTAGTGCTTTACTAAAATAATTACAAGTGCATGCAGGTTTCAGCTGGATAAGTCCCAATAGTTTATAAACTTTTAGCTTATTCTTGCAGCCTTCTGCTGTGGTTCACCATCTTTTTGCATTTTTAGTTCAACATTTAATTGCATTTTTTTCAATGGAGTAAAGTGGATCTTAAAGTTAGTGTACTGTGCAGAAAATAAGTTCATATAACTTGTTATTTGGATCACTTCTCTTAATATCTCTTAATTCTCTAAATAACTGTTACGTTGTATCTTTAATCTATTGCCTGATGTATTCAGTAAAATTGACTAAAACAGAGCATTTGATTACCTAGCAATATATTTTAATGAAAATTTAATCCTGAACTTAAATAGCATTTGGTGCTAATAAATGGTACTTTATTCAAATATGCATTGTAGTCTCCTAAGCTTGAATATTCTAAACACAGATCTTGTCCTGTTTACGTTTTTACAATTTGTTTTTACTGACTATAAAGTTGCTCTTAACCATGGGATATTCCAATTCATTCAATTTCAAAATTTGTTCCAATTTCTGGTTTGCATCTTTTTTTTCTCTACCATGGGCTGTTTTTTTAAATAAAAACATATCTAAGTTTAAATAACAATTATCTTTAGACCATAAGACTTGGAAGCAGAACTAGGCCATTTTTCTATCGAGTCTGCACTGCTGTTCAGTGAGATCATAGCTGATATGATTATTTAGAAAAATGTTCTGGAATGTGATCTTCACTGACAAGATGAGATAGTTACATGTCCCTAATTGCCCTTAATGAGTAGTAGTGAGCCACCTTTCTGAACTATCCAATGGTGTAGGTTTATCTCACTTATTTTGGGTTGGAGGAATTTCAGGATTTTGATTGAGCAACTGTAAAAGAATGGAGATAGTTAATTATATTCTCCTTGTTGGAGATGATAGTTGACTGGGACTTGGGTGGCGTGAATGTTGCTTGTTGAATTATTAGCCCAGGTCTGTTTGCATTTGGGCAAGGACTGCCTTGTATGTAAGGGGTTATGAGTGATATCAAGCACAGACTTCTAACTTTATATGTTAAACGGAAGATAATTGATGAAATACTTGAAGATGGTTAGGTCTAGGATACTACCCTGAGAAATGTATACTAAAATATCCTAGACTGAGATGATTGTCCTCCAACAACCGAATCATCTGTCTTTGTGCTAGGTATAAAGTTAACTGTTTGTGGCTCTTTCCCTGATTCCCATTAACTTCAGTTGTGCCACAAATCTCTGATGCCACACTTGACTAAATGTTGCATTGATGGTGATGGCAATCTTTTTCAGAAGCTTCATGCTTACTTTAAATGGGTAGATATCTTTTTTGCTAAACATGTTTAATGTAAGTACTGATTATATGTTACCTATGTCTGCTGTAACTAAATTGAGAAATCTTCAAGTAATGTGTGCAGTTGGTAGTATGAATTTAGTCTAGTTAGATTTCAGTGAGTAAAATATTATGAGTGAGATTTAATCATGTATTTTAGTAAATTGAAAATTTTCTTTTTCATAATATACTAAGAAATGAAAAATTTTCCACTTTGGACAAACAATTGCCAGTCCTAACATTAACATAGGTAGATTGTAGAAATAATACAATGCCATCATATATAATTCTGATAAATATTTTGCTTAAATATATTATTTTAGAATATTAATGTGAATATATAATTGATTCAATTCAGTAATTTTATGGATAGGAGAAAACACTTTGAAATTTTCAGTGTTTCTTTGCTTTTGAACCCATTGCCAATTGTGTATTACTTCATGTTGGCTCATGATTGAGCATGCATACCTCCATTTTTGCACAGGGTGTTATTTCTGTAAAGAAAAGCATAATATCAGAATTGAGCTGCTTTTGATGGTTATTGAAGTTCAGCCTTATTGTTCAATATAAAATTCTGGGACATCTCAGTAATTCCCCGCCATAAAAATCTTTTTGGGGAAAAAACTAAATACCGTCATAAATCATCAATGTCAGCTTTCATGCTAACCATCTAAATGGTTGGCCATTTCCCAATAACTCTTACTAAATTCCTGGCTAATGAGTGCTTGAGGGACAAGTTGCATATGCAGGTGGTCTCCTAATACATTGTTCTACAATAACGTCATTAATATTTTGATACAAATTGTATTATTTTGGATCTATGACTGTTGTCCGCCTATCAAGATCATGGCACTTTTGAATAGTTTTCCTTGTCATTTAACAATATTCTGTTGCAATTATGAAATGTTTTGGCATATCATGTTTCCTCTCATGAAGATTTCATTGGAAAAAAAATGAGAGCACAAGCAGCAACATTTAGGATTTTTTTAAAAACAGTATAGAATTTATAAATCTAACAGTACAATAGTTACTTTATGCTTTGGAGTGACCTGAGAAGTTGCAAATCCGTAGAAATCTGGTGTTTCATTTTGCAGTATTGGGAAAGTTACACCAGCAGCTTTAACACTTAAACAGTGCATGGATCAGGCTACTAAATAAGCTGCACCTCCAGACCCAATTGCTTCTCTGCAAATAGCCCATATTTGAGAACAACTGATTGAATTGGACTTTTTTTTCCAAAAAGAGCTTTTTTTTTTCAAGTCAACCCAATATTGAAATGGTTTCTAGCCATATTTTAAAATGTTTATATCTGCTCTTGTCAATGAAGATTTGTATTAATAAAATTTAGTTGGCTGGTGTGGTGGAAATTTCCACTGGATATATGTTTTGATGAAGTATCTGGTAGCTGAGCTAATTTAAATTAGAGATTTTTTGTATTCATAAATTCATTCATGGCAGACTATGACTGCACCTGGTCAGTCTCTAATGTAAGACCTTAATCAAGCACCATTAAGAACTAACTATCTATTTGTGTCTATTTCAGCAATGGACGGTGTGCCTTTCACTATTTCAGAAAAATTCTCCAGTGCGATTGAAATGGTAAGTGTATGTCACTGTAACTAAATTTGTTACTTTTTCTATACTAAGACAAATTACAAACCTAAGTTTTAATTTTCGCTAATTATTAAAAGCCAGTTACAAATATGTGCTGTACTATCATAAAAATTTTGAAAAATGCTGAAGATACAAGAAAAGGAATATCTTTGGTTGATACAGAAAATGTGTGCCCCATATAGTGGGGAAGCCATATTGGTGCCAATACTGCCCTTAGAGCGAAGGTTGCCATTCATTATTTTACTGAAACACTGAATCAGTTGTAGAGGCAACAAAACATAAAGTTTTAGTTTTTAATAAATAATATTTTTGACTGGTTTAACTTTACTTTTTTAGATATGTTTGTGACTTTGTGCATAACATGGCTGGTGTCCAGTGTCGCATTCCATGGTGTTCCCTAAATCTAGTTGGGAAACATTCAAGTGCATATACTACATCTGAATGAAATAGTAGCTGAATCTTGGCTTGCTGCCACAGTAGCAAATTTTGGTTAAAACATATTAACAAAATTAAACTGTAAGACATGATATGAACAGTGAGGAAGATTCAAACAACACATGGAATTAAGTTTGGTGATGGCGTGAGACAGTGTTGAGGAAGGTTCCAGTTCAAAATGGGGTTGAGTTTTAATTATTAAAGGATCCATAGAGATGGAAAACATTTTGGAGATATGTGCACTGTGTATCTTGTATTACATTTTGTTGGACGTCATTCCAAGAAGTGTTATTTGGAAGATATTCAATACTGTTTAATTCTTTCATCAAGTATTGCCCAACCGCTCATATTTTGCTGTAATAAAACTAGGCCTAAGTGATTGCCTGTTGTATTGATGTATGGTGAATATGAATGAATTGGAAACCCAGTTGTTCTTAAGCAAAGCTTTGGACAGGGAACTCTGAAAACATAAAATACATTGTAATAGCATACTTATTTGTTTTGAAATCTATAAAGCTCAAATATTTGACAACAAAAAATGGTATTTATGGTTATAATGATTTCCATTGAGCAATAAATTAATTTCCTAACTTCATAAAGGGCACTTATGAGGTGATCTTGTGCTTGGTTAAAAAAAGGTCATGAGATTGTTGCGGCCTGTCAATGTGGGTAGAATTTAAGCACAGTGTGTATAAATTTTCTACTGTATACAATCTACCGCCAAGATACATTTATTCATATTTCAGTATCTCTTTCATATATATGTAGAAGCCATTTGATTTCTTTTGCATTATTTTAATCTAAGATCTTAATTGTTACCAGAAATCAGCTGTCTCAATTTTGGCAAGTTTCCTGGAAGATTTCTGTTGTGAACCTGAGCGAGTTCTCTCACACTATTCGCAACTCACTTCATTAGTTATGCACAACTCTTCCTTGGTGCCCGCTTGCCCTATGTTTCTCCCTGCAAAGGTGAAAGTGCTGACAACTTCCAGGCCCTTAGGGAATTCCTACTGCTGGCGCCGTTTTTAAGTCCTAGCAGTACACCAGGTCATGCTGTGCCAGCGAGGAGCTGCCCTTCACAGTGCATATGTGGGAATCAAACGAGAAGGAAATATTTCTGAAGGCAAATGGTTTGTAAAATGTTTTGATATTTTCTCATCACCTGATTAATTGACAGCCATTATATCTGTAGCTATAAGAACCAAGTTGCACAGTTTAGCCGCCCTCAGTATCATTCTATCCTCGAATCTAGTCTAACAGTATGCCACTGTTTCCTTAATGCCCAAAGTAGCCCAACATCTTTGCATTATTCAGTGGGGGAACATCACATACTGAAAAGCCTTCAAGCAGTTGAAAACATGCAATTTTATTCAACAATAGCAAAAGCAAAGATGCAATGAAGAAAAGCTGCATTTGTTCCTGGGAACAGAATGGGGACTGCTTGCTTTTCAACAACCTATTCACAGCTAATGAGTGAGCACTGCTGCCAGCGCTATTGGAACCGGGTATCAATTAAGTCCTGCTTGGTTTGTTGCATTGGCTGTGCTGTATCATGCAGAAGATGATGTTCTTCCATCTTCCTCTTCTCCATACTGCAGCTGCTTTCCCATCTCTTCCGTGTTCATCACACTCCCTGTTTTTGGATATTCAATTGAACAAGGTATTGACCACTCTTAACATCCTGGTCACAACCCTGGAACTTCCTTCTAACAAACCTACTCCACGTGGGCAGCGCATGATTCAAGAAGGCAATTCACTACCACCTTCTCAAAAACAAATGGAATGGCTGACAAATTCTGGCCTTGCAAGTGATGCCCAGATCCCAGGAACAGATTTTTAAAAATTCTTATCTTGGCCATCGAGACCATTTATTTGCATCTTATGCGGCATCGTCTGCCAGTGAACTTGCTTTGCAGCAATTCTTAACCCACTGCTGCTGAAAACTCT